CCCCAAAACCCCAAAACCCCAAAACCCCAAAACCCCGTATCATCTCAATTAACAGTTGGAAAGTTAATACTATTTCAATTTATTAAAATAATTTTATGAGTAAACTAAGCTTAATAATAATGATTCTCTATGTAAATTTATTTATTCAATTCAGAAACTTTCTGAGTAGTACTAGTAGAGTGAGCTCATGAGGATTATTTATTTTACAAAAAGGATTACAAAAATTTACGCTAAATCTTCATCTCTTCTGACTCACACCATCCTTATTTAATTTGGGCTATTATACGCTTTATTTCTTGATATAATGCTAAGTCATTCTTTTTGATTAGGAATTGATCTTCACATTTTTAATTGACTGTTAGAGTTTTAATCAAAATCTCATCATTCAGTTCTTTCAAGGATATATACACTAACATCTCTGCAATCTAATCTCATTCAATTAAGCAAAACTACTCTTTATTAATATAGTATGAGATAGAAAATTGACGAAGTTTATCGCGCATGTCTTTCATCAAATTTTCATTGATCACTTAATTCTCAATATTAAAATCGTCAATAGTTTATAAGTACTAAATAGCTTGCTGGTAAATATCAATATGGCTAATCTTGAATTAAATGCACAAGAGCAATTTCTTTTCTAATGCTAAGTAGTCATCAATCGAGAATCTTTAGTAAAGATTACATATAGATACTTGCTTATAATTGAGATAGCTGACATCCCAGTACTTTGAGCTTATCACTAAACAGCATTTAGCGATTTCCATTATTATTTCAAGATCATCTAGAATCATCGAATAAATGCCAACATCTAATAATAATTAGTCCAGAAGGTTAACAGCCATCAGAAGTGTATGGATATTTTAATTTTTATTATGCAGAAGAATAAGGATCATGCTTTCAATTGCTTCTTGTCTAAATACTGCTACTACATTTTACTCAGACTAGCTTTACTCTTCCGATATTTCCAATTCAGAACTTAATTCTATCTAGCAAGACATTTTAGCTTAGAGCCTTTAATTTTTAGTAATTTAGTTTTCTTAACTTAAGCTCAGATTTTAGAGTTGTAATGGTAATTTCAAAATCGCTCTAGTATTAGTAAGACCAATATCAGTTGATTTCGTTGCATTCATGAAATTTGCGTTAGAAATAATATTATTGATATACTACTCTCTGATCTCGTCATTCTCAGCTTGGTTACGTCCAATTTCTTATTTAATAACCTCAGTTCCTATATTTGAGCAATTTATTTTAATATGCTAAGACTACTCTAAAATTTGAACCGGCAATTAATTGACCCTCTTTTTTCTTGTATGATTTAAGGGATCTATTAAATTTTCACTTGCTTTTGGGATTTGCTAGTTAATTTATTATCGAAATATGCTTGTATTAGAATTTTATTTGAAGTCGTAAATTATATCGAAATCAGCAATTTGATTTGAATAAATGTTTTCATCTAAATCCTCCTCAATATTGTAAGGGAATTCCTCAGAACTATAATCTTATTAAATCTCGTTTGCTCTTCTCTTGACTTGAATTCGATTTTAAATTGAATTTCTAGACTGTTAGCAATGATAATTCTCAAAAATAGAATATTGCTATCTGTATGGATCATTATTTAGGTTTTCTTGGCTGCAAGACATCTAAAATATGTATAGAAACTATTATTTTAACTTAAAAATTATGACTTAGCCAAAGATTAAGCGCACTTAAATTATTTGAGAAATAGATGATCAATTCTATTTATTTACTTTTGTTATGCATTTTTAATTGGTTAGACGGGGTTTTGGGGTTTTGGGGTTTTGGGG